TTTTTTAACATTTTCTATATTCATTAATTTTTTTTGAAGAATTTTTATGTATATTATTATTATTTATTAATATATTTATTTTTATACTTGATATGTTTTATACACTTATTGTTATTACTTAGATTGTGTATATTGCATAATAATACCTATAGGTATAACAATATTTCTAATAATAAGGAACATATATACATATTTAAATAATTGATAAGGGAGTGTGGTTATAAAAACTTGTATGCTTTTTAAAATGTAAGCTTTATATAGCCCTCTCTCTTCTAAAATTTAACTCCGCCTATATAAGTGGAATACAATATTATAATCTCATTGTTACTTATATCATCGAATATCCGGCATAATCTTCAAGTTTTGGTTTATGTTAACCTAACGCTCGTTTTACACCTATTTATAATATACAACATCTCAAATTGTATTTATACCTACACTCTATAGTAAGCAGTTTCGAGTGAACACCGTTTAAATATTAATATATAAGTGTCGCTTAAAATCAATAATTGTTAGTGTATCTATAGTACGTTCGTTGGAAGTCTGCGACTCGGATGGCAATATTATTGTTCCACTCGGGTAAACGGAGATAGTCTACAATATTTCTATAGCCACTCTCGCGTAGTTAGATCGCAATAACGTTTGATATTATATGTTTTATTATTGTTGTTGAAGCGTTATCGGTGGTATTTAAAAACGCCGACGAATACGCCTCCATGACTCATAATCATAATATTTATTAGAATCATTTGCATAATAATATATTTTGTCAGCGTATCGTATTAACACGTCGTCTGTCTATATAAGGTTTTTTATTTTTATTAGAGGCATGTGTTTTATTTTACTCCAGGACCACTGGACTGGAACACGTCGARTATCACGTCGATCCCCCCATCGATCATGCTTCGTGTATTATTTATTATATTATACTCTAGGGTCCGGTCGACGGCGTGCGGCGGTATGTAGTGTGACATTTCACAATGTCATTTTATGTATGTGTTTTTTTAAAAATTCGTTTCGATATTATATTTTTTAATTTGTTTTAAAGCAACGTTGATCCGGCACGTCTGCGTTGTATAATAATAATCGAGAGTCCTACGCTCGCGGGGTCGCCTGTATGTGTATAAAAAAAACCCACGTTTGGCTGAAAAAAAAACAGAAACGAACGTAGGCGCCCGAAAATAAGTTGTGCCAGATATTACGGGTAGGATGAGATACGAGCCTCATACACACGAAGCGTGGACAAATATTATAATAATTTATCGCTTATGAACAAAACTTAATATTTAAAGCATCGCAGTCGTTGCCGCGAGTGAAAGTCGGTCGGTACAGTATTTTACATATAATTATATAGGTGTATATTACACTATTATAGTACTAGTTGTATGTGTATGTACTTCGTATTAACAATACAAGAAAGTACCCATGTGCATTATACATTATATCAGATGAGCTAATATTCGTCACGCATGTAATTCTTATTTATTTATTATACAGGGCGATACCAAGCATGCTCGATGATCATCCCCATATCATACTTTATTACCTAACTATATCCGTCTATATGCGTAATAATTCTACACAGCCTGATTTACGGAATTCGTACAAGTACTTTAAGACCATATATTTTTTAAGAGATGTAGGTACTAAGATTATTTTCATTGAGTGTCTTGGTGTCACAAACTTTACCTTGTATTTTTATTAATATTTAATAGGTTTTAACTTAATATCGTTTTAAGACATCTGTAGTATATAGGTAGGACAGGTTTTAAAAGTCAAAATTCGATTTCGGTTTATTGAAACTATCTTGCAAAAAGAACCATCTGATGGATAATTCTCATTTTCAGATCAACTATCTATTCAACAGATAAAGATTTTCATAAAAACAATTGTACCATCATTACCTATTGGACACTCCTTAAATGACTTAAAATTTAAAATATCAGTATCAATTAAGGATAAAATAGGGTTAAAATGCTTGGTGAATCACCCTGTATGCTTACATACCAATCAGTTGCGCTAATAAAAGCAAAAAAGGCACATGTTTTTTAATCGTCGACACATTCGTTGATTAAATAACGTATTGATGTTTATAGTGCTTAATTTTTAACACTCATAAAATAATTGTCTCAAAGTGTGTTCTGGCTCTGGGTAAAATTATGACAAAGATAATATAGCACAAAGTTTGTAGTGTATATTCTATATAATAATATTTCAGTAGATATTTAATATATATGTATTATATAATTTCCATGTCAGTAAGTTGTTTCAAACGTGAATTGCGCATGCCAGATTTTCGCGTGTGTATTATGCGGAAACAACGAGAGGTTTTTCGTTTCGTCGCGTCTTTTCGTTCTTCATTTACGACAATAATATATGTTCGTGTTTATAAGTGTTATATATTGGGCGAGTCCTGCAGCCCAACTAGACCTATAATGTCGGTGCCGCTAAAAATGTGCAGGACAATTTACCAACTAAAAGATATTATAAAGTTTTATTTGTATTCATATACGTATAATGTATTTGTATATAATACTATATGTTATATTATATATATTATTATATGGAACAAATTACAAACAAATTTTTACCCGAATGAAGGCAGGCATCTCTGTGGCTTCAACTACCGCCTCACTGAACCGACGATAAAACACATGGATAATACATTCACATTCTATCAGTTTCATTTTTATATAATTTTTGGTCGAGTTCTTGTTTTTATTTTCGTGTTTACTAGTTAGGTTTTAAATATTAAGAATTAATTTATATTATAATATATTATGTATATAGTGTATACCATCTAATAAATGTGTGTTGATGCAGTGCGCTGAAGCCGAGTTTACGCGTTCTATATAATATCAATTACTATATATTAGATATAGGTATATATGGCGTGTATCTAGAAAGTTTAAAACACTACTGTGTGTATAATATGGTGGTTGCCGGGTGGCATGCATGATGCCTATTATTCAAACGTGCTACAATTAATTTAATTAAATTATAATTCCATACCGCAACGCTGTTATTATATAGTGTTATCACTTATCAGTTATCCTTACCAAAATATAATCGCTGTATGTATTATCATAATGTAATGTGATCCCAGAGGCGTTTCACTTTTCTTAACTGACATGCCGGATGTGTGATGTGTATAATGGAGGTTAATTTTAATCCACTAAATTTTCAATAATAAAATCATAGAATATAAATTAATCATCCGTGCTAATTAAAAAAAAATATGAACGAAACGAATAATCGTTGATTATTTCAAAAAAGGAGAGTATTATGTTTTGTATTTGAGTTGGTGAAGTACTAGAATTGGCTTACTTAAACACTCCCTAAAACACTAAAAAAAGTCTGCAGAAAGGTCCCCATGCAATGTAAATATTGGATTTCCATAAATTCTCTATTCTCCTTTAATATACTTTTATAAATAAATACTGTTAAGTGTGTATATAAATTAAACTGTAGGTATGAGAAAGGATAATAATATTTTATTGGTATACACTTTACGCTTCAATCGTTGTTTAAACGTGCAGCCATTAAGAAGGCAGTAAATATAAAAATCGCTGGTAATTAAACGAATTAAACGAATTTATGTATTATTGTGTGATTTTTATCACTTTTATGTTTAATATATGTACAAATTTGAACGATTATTAACTTAACTACCGAACATTTACTTATTTTTTAGTTCTTTTGACTAAAAACTTACAAATATTATTTGTTTTTTTTTAAAATACCTATTATTTCATATCAACGGGTTTAATTATATTTATGTAACTATCTGTATCATTTATTTCGTAGTTGTAACTCATTAGTTCACTGAACATATTGATAATAAAGAGGCAATTATATATTTCGTATAATCGTGTTTGATATTTTATCCAATTAAAAACAAATCGTATCTCTACAATATACACTACAACATATATTTTCTAGTTGTAATATTGATTAATTTGAATCAATACTTAAATTAGTTTTTCAATGAATATGTCTAATACTCTAATATGTAATAATTATTTTTTTGTTTAATACTTTTGATTTTTAAGCACTTAAGTGTTTGTCTAAACAATAAAATAATTAAATACTTAATAAAAACATGAAATCTAATGTTATATATGTATAAATATACGTAACCACATTCAAATATAAACTATGTAAAAACTAGTATACTACATGTCATTGTGTCAACATATTGCGTTTATATTGGATTCGCAAATTAATCATTTTAAAATTGGACAGTAAATATATTGAAATAATTTAATTGATATACATTTAAAATTTAATTTTTTCCTTCTGTCGATCATTGTTGGAATTGTTTATTTTTGAACCGTCTATTATCTGATTTATTGTTACTAGGCTTATGAATGCACTAAAAATAGTGTAATAAGTAAAAACATACTTAATTCTAACTAAAATTCTAAAAATGTAAAATATATTTACTTGATTAATTAATTTTTAATAAAAGTGATAAATATATTAATACTTATACTATTAGAAAATATTTTGATAAAACTATTAAATTACATTTGTTATTATTATTTTTATAAAATAGTATAGATACCTAACTAGATTATATATTTTTATAGTTACCTTTTGTTATCTATTAAAAGATAATATTGAAACTTCAAAAGTAATTAGTAACATTTTTTATGAAATTTTTATGCACCGATAAGCGTGTTATAGGTACTCAACAGCAAAAATTTTAAAAGAATTTGTCTGGATTTCAGAAAAATATATGTTTAATGATAATACTCTACCTATGTAATAAATTGGTTGTGATATATTTTGGCTGAACTTAATTTCTTGTTTAAAAACACACGCCATCGCCATTAATGCATAAAATCCATAGCCTTGGTTATTTACTATATTAGTGAAGATTTATGTATTGTTCGAATTCATTCCTAATATAATTACTCTTTATTTCTATATATAATATATATACATATATACTTATAGTATTAATCTATTATTTATATGTGATCATGTTCTTATAGTTTCTTCAAAACTTGGGGAAAGTTGACCGGACTGAAGATGAAATTTTTAACGAGCACTTACAAAATTTTTCAAAGCAGCAAAATGCGGCGAACAAATTACAAAAAGAATTCAACAACTATATTCGATGTGTCAGAGGTATGTTAGCAAAATTTTAAACAACAGTAACAATATAAACTTTGTAGTGATTTATATGGCTTCATTGAAGGCTCGACCAATCGATGACCTTAATATTTTCTGCGTACCTGCGCCTACTCATTGCTATTCATTTTTATCAAATCATTGATAGATAGATATTTATGATTTCGTGTTTTGAATTATGATTTAGCTGTGCAAGTAGCGAGTAAAAGTCTGATGGACACGTTGAATGAGATGTACGAAAGCCAATGGGTTGGACACGATCACATGTGTACTGATTCGAACAATTTGGACATGCTGTGGAGCGATTACACTCATAAGTTGGCTGATCAAGTGCTTATACCGTTGAACACGTACCAAGCCCAATTCGCCGAAACGCGGGTAAGCAATCAGCAACCACTGATAATATTAATACCGTATGATAAATAATTTTCCTGAATAATGGGTTCTAGTATATTATTTACTTCTTATACCTCTTATATAGCTGCATCCGAATACACTTATTTAATCCGAATTCGTATAGACAATTCAAAACATTGCCCATCCAATTGTTCGGTATTCAACTGTGATCTACATCTGAGGATAGCCAAATAAAACTCGGAGATTAAAAATATTTTTTTCTTCAGGTTAACTTATAATTTTATAATTTTAATTAAAAATTCGAATATTAATTGTATTATAATATTTTGATAAAAATGTATATTATGTTAGAATTTCACTTATAAAAAAACATACATCGTACTCACGCGTGAGTTTCCCGCGGGAATTTTTTATGTGGACCGAACACTAGTTTTTATAATTAACTCGGAATCCAACTACAAATTATAGTAACTTGTGTAAAGCTGGGACCCAATTAGTAAAGCTATTCATATAATATATGATATATTATATCCTTTATGTTTTATCAATACAAGAGTATTTCTGGTTTATTAGAAAAAAATCGATAAACGAAACCGAAAACTGGTCGACTACGATAGCCAGAGGCACAGTAACCAATTGGTTAATAACAACAGTGTTGCGGGCGGAGCTGGCAAGAAAAAAGACGAAGCGAAAATTATGAAAGCCAAAGAACAGTTCGACGAAGTCAAGCGAAAATTCGACCTCATCAACACAGAGCTGCACGACGAATTGCCTGCATTGTACAATTCTAGGGTATTGTTTTTGATCACAAACCTGCAGCCATACTTCGCTGCCGAACAATTATTTCACAGCGAATCGTCTAAGGTACGTCCACTTAGTACTTTAAAAATTACTTATTGTTCTGCTAAGTTTTACTATACATCCGTTACGGATATTCAATATTATGGATATATTATATGCGCATAAACGTGATTATTGCGTTTTAATTTATTTCTAATATCTAGAATTATTTTATTTGATAATTCCGTACTCATTTGCACTAATAAAAAATGTTCGGTTCGCGCTTTTCGTCAGGTATTCTCCGAAATGGAATCGATCGTCGACAAATTGGCCACGGATTATCAACACCAGTCCAAGATGCTGAACTACTTCTTAGGGAACAAAACTCCCTCAAATAACGTCGCCAACAATATTCAATCTGCGTAAGTATGCATGCTTTTAAATTTATAAATATTATGTATAATATAGGTACTATAGAGATACTCAAGTAGTGTGTTGTACACGCATGGGTGGCCTGAGTAATACGTGACCTCAGTGTCAAACACGCCTTGAAATTTTCCACCTAAAATGTAACCACCTACTACCTACCTATAAGTGACATTTTTATCGGGCCTCCCTCATCCAGGTATATACAAGGAGATCTGAGGGGGTGAACTTCCTTCACTAAAATTATTTTATACATTTAAAAAAATATATTATTGCATATTTTATCAAATACATATCTTAACACTTTATGGTTATGTAATTTAATTAATATTAAATAATTTTTGATATAAAAAAAATCAGCAAAATGTAGGCCATTATATGCGAACCAATCCTGGTGCAACCGTGCCTTTAGTTATTAAACTGGAATATATATACTGTTTAATTTGTAAATGTAAACAATAAACTGATTCCATTATAGTAGCATAATACTAATTATTTGTTTCATTTTGCGTAGATCACAGTCGCCGGCGTCTCCGATATCTATGAATGGTAATTATTATAACTACCTACTATCTAAAAATTATTTTCTCGTTTTAGCTTTCGTTTACAGTTTATAATATTATGTTGTAGCTATATTGCGTTGTTGAAATAATAATACCCATAGGTGCAAATTAACTTTTTTTTTAAATTTTAAGTCGTCGAATAGTTTGTTTAATTATTTTTACTCTAAAATGAACTAGAGCTATAACCACACAAATATCATAATATCATACTATATCAAACTATCATGATATTGTTTCGAATAATTTGTTTTCATTTATTTTATATTAAAGTTAAAATATAGCAAATTATATATTATATATTATACACTTGATATTTATTTTAATATTGAGATCTCTAATTTTTTTAAACATGTTGTTTGTTAAAATATGTATACAATAATTAATCATATTTAAATTAAATTCTAAAATTGTATATTGCCTTTTTTTCATCATTTTTCTCAAATCTTGATTTTTAAATCGTATCCTAAATGACCTAAATACTAAATTGTATAATCTGAAGTAKAAATCGTAAAATATGTTTGTGAACAAAATGTTTTCGTTGAAAAATTTGTCGATATAATATTAAACTAAATACTAATATACGCTATACAGGTATAGTTCTTATAACTAATAAGCATTTTAAATTTGGCCTAGCCAGTGCCCTGCTAATTTTGTTCAGTGCTCAAGTACCCTTTTAATAATTTTAGACAATTTGCGCCTATGATATTTTAAATTAAAATAGACCATAATTATACTTTATGTCGAGTACCGTTTGTGTATAACTAATGATTTTCGTGTGAACACTAAACTGTGTGTGTGTAATGTAGAAGAAGACGTTGCGAAATCCCCGCCCTCGTCACCCGCATCCCCTCAAAACAACACGGCATTCGTAAGTAATAGTAAACCACCGTCATCGCAGCCGGACAGCAGCATCAACGAAGTTTCGTCAGTGGCATTGAAAACACTGTTAGAAGATGAATCAACGCCGTTGTCTTCGTCGTCACCGCCATCGCAGCAAGTGCAGCAACCTTTGGTTAACGGCAAGAGTAGCTCATCACCGGTAAACGGCGTCGCACCGGTTAGACACGAAAACGGCACAAACAAAATTGAAATCGACATACCGCCAGGTACCGCAGAGTGGTTTTAAATAATAATATTAAACCCATGTCCTATATACAACTTGACTTCGCGACGTTTTAGTTAAATTTTTTTATAACCGCTTAATTAATCGATAATATCATAACCATCCGAACCGATCGGTTCAAAAAACGACTGCGTGGCACACTGCTTTTTCTCCTCCGATCGTGCGAGCCACGCGAGGACTATACGATTTTATATTATTATAATTTTTCGTTTTCTGCAGGAGCAACTACCGACAACTTGCCTCCGGGAGTGCTGTACAGAGTGGTGGCGACTTACAAGTACGACGCTGAAGACACGGACGAGCTGTCGTTCGAAAAGGGTGAGATCATCAGCGTAGTACCCTATGATGATCCAGAAACTCAGGTGAGTAATTTGCCATGTTTATACTGAACTACGGCCTTTGACATTATACCGAAACATGGTCTGGTTATCGTTGTCGTTAAATATATTATTATATTAGTGTTGCAAAGTTGGGCAAGTCAGTCATATTTTTTTTCTTGTTAAAAATCTCTCGTTTTAATGAGCCAACAACAAAATTAGATTTGAACACGTTTTATCAGAAATTTTCCAAGTTAAATCATAATTCGGTTGAGATGAATAACAAAAAAAAAAAAAAAAAATAGACAAACAATAAAAATTTAAGGACGAAATTCACCAGAATCATAATATACTATACAGGGTGTCCCACAGAGATCTGACATTCTGACAAATTAAATAACTTTTGTTCTAATCAATATATTTTAAAAATTTCTTTTAAATATAATCCATAGACACCATTTTTTTAAAAATCAGATTTACAAATTGGCTATATTGAATATTTCGAAAACATTTTTTATCAATTTTTAAGTTTTTTATTTTCCGTATTAAAAAATAAAAAATGTATTCTAAAAATGTAGCGCAAGTGTCTATGAATTATATTTAAAAGACATTTTTTAAAAATATGGATTAGAACAAAAGTTATTTCATTTGTCAGAATGTCAGATCTCTGTGGGACACCCTGTATAGGATGTTGTTGATCACTGATATACTGTAAGATAATTATTTTGTCTTTTTCAATTTCAACACTTCAAGTAAGATAATTTACGGTTTAATATTACTGAACTAAGTTAGATATAGCTATCAAGAAAATGAACTTTTTGACAATCGATTGCCCAGTTTTGGAGTATTAATTGTGTAAGATACAGGTGGATGATGATTTATTTTTTTTCCTTTTTAACATGCAGGAAGAGGGCTGGTTGATTGGTATTAAAGACAACACAGGAGAGAAGAAATTGTTCCCTGCCAATTTCACTAGACCTTTGTGAGTGCCACACTGTCGTAAGCGCAAGAAGATAACGACAAGACCTAGAATCCTGAAGTATAGTTTTTGGATGTTTGTGGTTCTATTTTATGTTTTTATGTTTTTGTATATATATACAAATGAGATTTGAAGTCGGTTTTTGCCCGATAGACACGAAACGCGCTGCAACGACTAGTTCTTATGACAAAATTATTTTATAAACTAAATACACCGCCCTTAAGTTTTTGAATATTTATTTTTTTTATGCTCCGTGAACGTCAAGTTTAGAAAACATTATCAACAATTATCTGTGCTGATAATAATATGAATTTGACTGATTGAGAAATCGTTACGAATTTAATAGGTTCATTTTTAAATTGTATTGTTAGTGTGATTATATTGAACCTTGAAAAAATACTCATTAATTAATTAATGTGTAACAAGTGCCTTTAAATTTTTATACTAAATAATGTTTACACCTATATGAGGTAATAAATTTGTTTTTTGTGCCATTTTAAAGCATAATAAAGCTACTATTTGGCTACTATATTTAATCTTACTCCTACAATTATTCAGATATGGTACCTTTTACCTTAAATGTATAATCATATAATAACTACATTTTGCTCGTATTATGTGTTTACTACTTTTATTTTGTATGTGTTGTTATATTGTTGTATTTGTGTGTTAAATGTTTTTTTTTACTTTTAGTGAGTGATTTGTAAAGGTTCAATCATTTTAGTTTACATTAAAAATATTTACCCCGTCCCTTATACCCGCTCTGATAGTCAATAAAATGTAAATAATTTTAGTATAGTAAATTATTATTKTCTAAGTAATATCTGTATTTTTTATTATATAAATTAACTTTGATAGATACTAAATTTATTATATAAACCAATGTATTATTTAGATGTAAATTTATTTTGTTCTTAATGTTTTGCTTTAGGCATTTTAACATTTGAGATTCAGTATTGCTATTTAAAAATAAAAATAAATTATATAGATGATATTTTATATTAACAAAAATAATTACTGGTATCAGTAGCCTTATATTAGATGGATTTCGCTTATTGTGTATTTAAATACTGTTCTTTATTCTTGAAAACAACCAATAAGAATACTATTGCATTTATTTATTTTTTGTGTTGACTTTGGATCATTGATTTATTTATTAATGCCTCTCAGCCAAATAACATTGGCATTATTAATATATTATATGGTTCTGTATTATTGTAGATGCAGTTTATTGGGAGGGGGGAGGGGGGAGGGGGGTGTCAGTGGTCATAAGCCGTTAATATGGCCAGATAAGGGATGTCCATAATGGATGATGTTCTATCAGTTTTTTTATATGTTAAATAATGAATAATTATAAATAAAAAATAAAAATAGGACATTTAATTTGTTTTAATCCAACATGATTCATTAATGCACTAATTCAGTTTTGGATGTATAACTTTTTTGTTTGTATTTATAGAATTTTGTTTAAAAGTAGAAAACAATATATTATATCAAATCAAAAACGGACAAATTGAATTACTGTGATCAAATCATTTTTCATAAGTGAGGAGCCATAATCAATATTTGTATTTATGGTACATCAATATTTTATTGATTTTGGTATCTATCTACCTATTGAATGGGGCTTATATTTCACATATAATGGAAAGAATGGTTTATTCACTGTTATTGTACATAACAGTAAGTTCTCTATTTATACACAAATGTCAAAAAATAAATAGTTGGAGTTTATTATTAACTATAGACTATAGTTGACAAATTATTCATAAATGTAAATTCATTAGCATTTTATTGTTTATTTTTTTTATGACTAATATTTATGTAATTTTAACTCCTAAACACCTAATTCTTAACAATTCTTAAGATCTAGTTCATAAATTGTATAAGTTTATTAGTTTATTTGTTGTACAATTCATTGTTACGTCCTAATTAAAAATTATATGTAACTCAAATTTAAATATTGTTCCAAGCTGATACGTTTATTACAATAAAATGATAATTTTCGTCTCATTTTGAATTAAAACTTTTTGTAGATTTAGTTTTTGTTCAAATAATATATTATCGTCATTGTTCCTACTCCATATATTATATTCCTAATTCTAATTTATCCAATTCATATAAATATAACAGTCAAATTTTCGGCATACATATATAATAATATATATATATATATATATATTAAGAAAAAACATCTCAAAACTATTGCAGTTAAATTATTAAAATTCATAAAATAATGATTAATAAATACCAGTATTATAATACTAGGTACATTATTATTGAAAAATGAAAGGTATTAGAAGTGAATACATTTGTACCTCATGTAGGTCAGCTGATACAGCCAGGATTTGTCAATGTTGGGAGAGCTATTTTTTTAAGCAGAGACTAACTTATTAACTTTGAGTCTAATAACATCTAGAAAAGAGTAAATTGATTGTGCTGCAGTCTCCAGTGTTCTAAACCTACATTTTTATGTGCATTATCTACACATTTTATTTCATTTAGATAACCTTTAAATTATTTCATATATACATATATTATATTAACTAGATAATGCAAAAGATAATTTTTCAAATTATCCAAACAATTATTCTCTCTATTGTCTATTTTTTTTTATAAAATATCTTTGTTCACATAATCTTATTGTACTGTGATAATTCCACCTGTTAGGATTATATTTTTCGAAAAAAATATGTTATAAATTTAACCATGAATCATAATAATTAGTATTTCATACGGTTTGTAAAATTGTGCATTTGTATTATTTAATATATTAATTTTTGATATGCGTGTAAGGTATAAACTATATACTTCATTATTTGCTGGTATTATGTAAATAATTCCTTATAATTGTATTAATATTATGTCTATGGGAACCTGAAAAAAAATTTATTAATAATGACTTTATAAAAAGAATAATTCATGTCATTAATTACCAAAGTTATGTTTCAATAGGAGCTGGAGACTGCAGACTTTTTTGATTTTCAAAGTTCAGACACAATAAATTAATAACTATTCAATTAATTTCATGGACCAACTAAACATTAAAACACATAAAAATTTTTAAACATTTCGTGAATCGCAAGTATGTAATGATCAACAACGGACGACGTTGGTAGAGTAAAATTAGACAACGGGTTCCTCCATATTTATCTGTCATAGTATATACAGAATTAATAAGTATAAGCATATCTACAGCCTAAATATAATATAGGCACTATGATTTCGTTCCATACGAAAGTTCTTACTTAGAAATTCTTCGGTTGCGATAACCTATAAAACAATCATTGATTTATGGTTACCTATACTTATTATATTATTATACTAACTATAATACAAAGTTTTATAAAGAAAAGAAAAAGAAATTAAATATTTAAATATAAATTGATTTGATGAAGAGTCATGGTTGTATATATTGTTATGTTAACACAAWGTCTTCATTTTCCATTCCTCTATGAAACTGAAAAACCTATCATATACCATAAGGTGTACTAATTAGTAATTAATAAATAAGGTAAGTGATCAGAAATTTGTGTATACAAATGGTGGGAATATTTTATATGAATTGTATACCTAATACTGCTTTATTTAACTACTAGACACTGAATTTATTAACCTCGGATTGATTACATATATTTATCCGTTTAAAAGTGACGAAATGAAATTAAATTTTGACGTTGAGAGGCAATAAGTAGAAGTTCAATTTTTGAAGTAGAAAACATTAATAATTAAGCAGACTGATGGTCCGAAGGTGGAATCAAAACTTTTATTATATATCAGAAAACCAGTAGATAGGGATGATAAACAAAGTTCGGTGTTGGATAAGTATTCTAATTTCAAATGGTGGTTTTACCTAACTTTTGGAGAACTAAATCAGAAAATATTGAGTAGTCGATAGTTTAGAACATAGGCGAATCTACAGGGTGTGCCTGGTGTGCCAGTGCACACCCTGCTGCGACTCTTTAAAAACCTGTGTAGAGCCCATTATACTCATTTCAGTTACAATGGTATTGAGTAATGAGTCTAAACATTAAACAATTTGTTTTTAATTTTAATACATTTTTATGGGTACAAATATTG